TCTACATTTTTTAAGCAGTAGCTGTAGTCAGTAGCGAACTACCTTTGTTCAAAAGTAGCAGTAGTTGTAGCTGACTACATATTTTTGAAGTAGCTGTAGTTATAGCGAACTACAAAAATTTTGTAGTCAACCCACCCTTGGTGCTAAATTGGACGAAAAAGTGCTAGAACTTGAATAACTCATAATGATAATGATGAGCAATTGACACAAACTATTCAGCAAAGGTGTATATAAGAAGGACACTCAAAACAGTGTTAAAATATTAGCGTTCTCCATGTGATTTGAAGATTTTAAACTGTTTTCAATTATCTGTGCTCTGTTCGGGGGGGGGGGGGCGTATATGTTTATGGAAGCGAGCTTAAGATGCACCAAACCTACGATGTGGACGTGAAGAAAAACTGTAAGTATTCCCACAGTTTCATTACAGGGATAAAAATTACGGCCTCCAGTTGATAAACAAAGTCAGAGACACACTAGTGAAGCAAAATAAAACTTACTAGTGAAGCAAAATAAAACGTTTTTATGTCACGTCCGCGTCATAGATTTGGTACATCTTAAGCTCGCTATAGCAAGTATGAAGAATTCAGAAGACACAATCGAAGAGTCAGGTGAGTATTTATGGCGCATTTTCCATATCAAAAATAACATTGTGTGTGCAGATTACTTTATGGCATTCAGAGATGTCATTATGTAATTTCAGCATTGCTTTATGGTATTTGAAGATGTCATTATGTAATTTCAAACAGTTACACATAATGATCACTTGCACACATAATGATCACTTGCACACATAATGATCACTTGCACACATAATGATCACTTGCACACATAATGATCACTTGCACATACAAAGATCACTTGTACACATAATGACACAGAGGAGAAAATATATAGAGGTGGAACTCAGCTAAAAAGTGTAACCGGCCGCCAAAAGCTTAGCCAGTGCCTAAAGAGAGGCATCCCCCCCCCCCTCCCCGCAAGTGTTCCAGAAAATAACCAGCATAAAGAAACTTGTTATTTTGCTCATAACAGTTTTCCTTTACTAAGGTTGTTATTAACATGTTTATATAATTTATCCATCAAAGATTGATGTGTTTGTATGAGAAACCTGTGACGATTATCTACCAACTTATATGGTATTATTATTCATTGACGTCGTAGAAGTGGAAACTTACTCATGCATGTGAGTCATGTCTAAAGGATTAGAAGACATGTAAATGCTATAATTGTATAAAACTTTATGTGCAACTTGATCTCTAATTTGTCTTTAATATTTTGTGAAATCTCTAGATAGAAATCAGTCGAGATTTCATTATTTGAAACTATAACAGTATGGCACCTTGTTTCTAAAGCCTGCATGGTTTCCATATATGATCTTAAAATTGAGTCACGATCATTCTCTTATCAGCCGAAATACAACATTTGAGAACTGAAAATACGCGGAGTGATTATAACTAGAGAATACTTATGATTTATATTTATAATATAGCATTTATAACTCAATGTCAACACGGAAACATCGCAAACTTTCTTTCTTTATGTTTTTTTGTGCTCTATTATAAAACAAATATAAAACTTTTTCCGTATTGATATATAGTTATATCAACACTCGTGGAAATTTGGAAAACTCGAAATTGTGTGAAAACACTCCGCCCTTTGGGCGTCGTGTTTCCACACAATTTCTCGTTTTCCCAATTTCCACTCATGTTGATATAACTGTATATCAACACAGAAAATGTTTTATATGTGTTAAGTGGTTTACAAGTTAAACTATTATAACTGGACGTTGAGAAAGATTGTGACTCTATTTTTACGACTGATTATACGACCATATATGGAAACGGGAAACCAGGCTTTATAAGGGGCGGACCATTTAACTTTTGAGGGGGGGGGAGGGTTGGAAAATTCAGACCGCGCAAGAATTTTTTTCCGCCCAGGCGAACAAGACATATTTTTTCCTGTAAAAGTGCAGCGCAAGATATTTTTTCCCAATATATTTCGCGGCAGGATATTTTTTGTCTCTCATAATAACGGCTTACATGCAGTAACATAAGGCTTTCATACCGCTATCGTCAGAGACGTAGCTGGGATTTTCAGTCAGAGGAGGCCGAGAAAATCCCAAGAGGGGCCAAGGAATTTTCACTGTGCTCTATTTTATGTGGTTATGTCTTAATGTTCCCCACACTAAAGCGTGCAGGTTTACATACCAAGACCAAAAACATGCAGGGATAGAGTAGAGTACCGGTACTCAAAAATGAGGGGAGGGTACAGTATATGAATCACTTATAACCTTGGAGGTTCGGGAGCATGCTCCCTCAGGAAAATTTTAAAATTTGAACCTCGGAAATGCTATTTCCTGCGTCTTCTGCTATGGATTCATCCAATAACTTTGCTGTACTAAGCCTAAGGAACACTTACTGTCCCTTATTTTAAACAAGGGAAAATCACAAAATGAGCTTTGAGTGAACTTTAGTAAAGGAAAACTGTTATGAGAGCAAAATAGCAGATGTTTTTTTATGCTGGTTATTTTCTGAAACACTCGGGCGCCATCTTGAAATTTTAGTTTGGAGGGGGGGGGGGGTGAATGCCTCTCTTTAGACACTGGCTAAAGGGCGGACCATTACAAAAGTGATGGGGAGATGTGGGATTTTTTTAACTTGTACGAATATTTTTTTCAATTTTTTTGCTTGCGTCGATAATTTTTTTAAATATAATCCCTTGCAAGAACTTTTTTTATAATTTTCCCTATTGGAAGGTCTCTGCACGAATTGTTTTTCAAAGTTTCTTGGTGTACGAATTTTTCTTTCTGTTTCCCCAGTGCGCGATTTTTTTTCTTCCCCCCCCCCCCC